CCTATTGAAGTAGATGTGTGATTGAGGAAAAAAAAAAAACTACAACACATGGCTTGTACAAATGGAACATAAAAGGCAAATATACGTACGTGCATTGAAGAGTAGTATGCTCTATGGGGTCAAATAAACAATTTTCCAACTCGTTCTGGAGCACTACGACCCTTCTTTCTAAAGCTACTGAAGTGAATCGTGTCAATGGAGAAACCCATACAAAATGTCAGTAATAGGTATGGAACATATAAAGCAAAAACACGTACAATAAAGATTTGTAGTATGGTCTTTGAGACTAAATAAAGATTTTACCATCTTCCTTGGATGACTTGATCTGTTTTTTCCAGACCTATTGAACCGTGTAAGGTGTCAATGATGAAAACCATTGTAACACATTGGGAGTTTTAATTGAACATATAAAGCAAATAATTGTCCAATGAAGAGTTGTAGTGTAGGTTAAAATAAACATATTCCACCGTGCTCTGTAACAGTCCACAGAGCCTTTTAAAAGCCATTGAACTGAATAATTTGTCATTTAGGAAATCAGTGCAACAGGTTGAAAGTAGTTATTAACCATATAAAGCAAATGATTGCTAAATAAAGACCTGTAGTATGTTCTTTAGGGTCAAATAAACATTGTGCAACTTGTTTTGGAGCGGTGTGACCCTCTTTTCAAAAGCTATTGAACTTGATGATGTGCCATTGAAGAACCCCCATAGAATACAGTGATGGTACAAATTAAACATATAGAGCAAATAATTGCACATTAAAGACTTGTTGTATGTTCTTTAGGGTCAAATAAATATTTTGCAACTTGTTTTGTAGCGGCGTGACCCTCTTTTCAAAAGCTATTGAACTGGATGGTGTGCTATTGAAGAAACCAATTCAACACATTATGAAGTAGTAGAAACTGACCATATAAAGAAAATTACTGCACAATAAAGAGTTGTAGTATGTTTATTAGGGTCAAGTTAAGATTTTCCAATGTGTTCAGGAACAGTCCATCAAGCCTTTTAAAAGCTATTCAACCCGCCCATTTGGAATGATTGGCAGCCACACCAACCAATGACTTGGGTACCTTAAATTCAACTGACCAATCAGCTTCTCAAGGGCAGGAAACCAACGTTTCATAAGGGGTTGCGATCAGTCATGTTTCATAAACAAAACAGAGAACACTGTTTAACTGTCACACTGATTACAGAAGAGTCTCAGCGGCAGAGAGGAGTTTCTGATGTAGCGTTATTCTTTTGAATGAAGAAGTAAGTCTGCGATCTGTTTGCATTGTTTGTAGGCCTACAAGTGAGCTGTAAGCAGACCAGTAGCTGTCCAAGGTGATCAGCAGTGTGACTTATTTGAGCTGTCATGAGTTTCGTCTTGAATTTTGATGTTGGCGTTAACTAATTATGCTTGTCTACAATTAGTCTTATCATGCGGACTTATGTACGTTAATTGTCTGTTTTTCTCTTGGCTTTGCAGTACACACTTTACTCGACACTATGAAGAGACTGTACTTCATCGAGCCGATCGTAGCGATTTACGCGTTTGCCAGTTTTATGGTGTATCCCCTCGTGCAGCAGTACGTGTATCGCAGATTGTGGCTGGAGATCACGAACTCATCTTACCCCGTGTCCGACAACACTTCCCAGTGCGCCGCCAACAACACCAGCCACAGCAGACAGCAAGTTGTGAGTAATGCCTACGTGTGTCATATGACACAAACACTTGTACATCACATATATTTGCGTATAAATTAACTTCATTGCATTATATAGCAAAATTATAAAGCAAGTGTTGCTATATAGCTTTCCTAATAGCTAACATCCTTTATTAGTAGTTTTTACCAGCTGGTCCTTATATA